AATTACAAGAGAAAGGCAATACTTTTCTGAGACTTAAACCGTTATAATGTCATGCTGGCTGGTAAGTCAAAGCAATTTGAAATTTGCTATTTAAATAAAAATGACTCTTTAGTTGTTCTACATGGGATTTTGACTCTATTCAAAGTTGCTAGCTGGGAGAATAATCCTTTTCATTCAGGTTGGCTGGCAGTCAAGATAAGCACAGCAAATCTTTTTCCCACGTAGATTAATTGTTAACCAAATATCAAAAAATATTTCTCTAGATAAAATATACTTTGCAAGAATCGCTAATAATCGATCATGATCGTTCTTAAATGATAGTCAGTAAATTAAGCAAGTATGCAACAGAGCAATGTTTATAACATGCGATAAAATATCTCAGACTTTAAGTAAATGTGATTTCGAAAGTCAGTGTGCGTTCCCTTGTAATGTAGTCGTGGAGACGAAACACAATTCTACACAGAGAACTGATAAGTGGGAGTTGTAATATGACGAAAACTTTCAAATATTGCGATTCGATAGTCACAGTGCACTTATCTGTTATTGATATAACAAGGTGAAGGAACTGAACTGAAAAGTGACACGAAAGCGAAGACTGTAGCAAAAAAATATAATATTACTTCTACGTGTGCTAAATTGCTGCAATACTATTTTAAAAATAAATTCTACTTTGTGTTTTAGCCTCCGTCTATCATAATTTTTAAGGAGTACGAGAAAGTGGAAAAATTGAGCATCTATAATGAAAGTCACATTCCAGTTCTTTAACTATGCTAGGTTTATTTTTTTACTTTGGCAAAAGCTCAGTATAAAGTCTGAATTGCAAGATGTTTCGTGCCATCATCCTATTGATAAATGAATCCTTTGTGGTGTCAATGGTTTGTAACATACACGCATAACTGCACGTAAACCCCTTAGTCGATAAAGGAAACAATAAGATCATTTATCTTTCAGTGTCTAGACGGCCTTGAATACTTTTCTGTAAACAGAACAAAGTTTCGAGGAATCATCACTCGCAGCTGAGCGCCTCGAAAGCGTCGAATTAGTGTAACTGTGATTCCAGGACAAACTCACACCCATAAAAGGTTAGCATATTTGCACCGCCTAACATTAAAAAGAGACTATAATAAGTAGGAGTGAAAACCATGCATTTGAGCTAAAGTTTTTCAGACCAAGGTAATTATGGCAAACTACTTTAAACCACAGAACTGCTTCAGGATAATCAACTTGCACTAAACTACTTAACATTACACCTACCAAACAAATGCACACCCGGAACTACACACACTACACCGACTATATCGAACTAAGGCCTACACGTACATTGTCCATCTAGGTCTATAACAAATAATCAACCACACCCTAATCGCCAAAATACAGCGACGACATTGACTACAACTAATTACAACAACCTTGAATAAAACATCAAAGTACACCGGCACCCAGAGCCAACCTGCTTCAGCGACGTCAAGTCCTAAGTTCCATCTTAATTTGGGCGTGCAAGCGAAAAATTGCGCTAAACTAATTAGAATCTTGTCCTAATACTAAATTTAAACGAATGCTTAAATCAAACCAGGTACACTAAATAACTTAAAAAGTTGTGACGATTTCTGTAGCTCTCATTAGTCTAACAATTTGTCAGTTACCACGAAGATAAATTGTTGACCAAAATAACACAATGATTCTTTGGATACAATAGACTTTGCAAGAGTCGTCAATAATCGATCATGATCGGTCTTTACTCATAGTACATTATGCAAGTATGAATGAAAGCAGTGTTTATAACATGCGCTAAAATATCTCAGACTTTAAGTAAATGTGATTTCGAAAGTCAGAGTGTGTTCCCCTGTAATGTAGTCGTAGAAACGAAACTCAATTCTGCACAAAGAACTCATGAGTGAGAGTAATAACATAACAAAAACTTTTAGATATTGCGATTCGCTAGTCACAGTACACTTATTTGTTGTTGATATAACAAGGCGAAGGAACTGAACTGAAAAGTGAAACAAAAGAGTAGACTATTGGTAAAAAGTTTAATATTAATTCTAAGTGTGCTAAATGGCTGCAAAAATGTCTACAAAGAAATTCTAGTTTGTGTTTTAGCCTCCGCCTATCATAATTTTTAAGGAGTACGAGAAAGTGGAAAAACTGAGTATAGACAATTAAAGTCACAATCAAGTTCTTTAACTGTACTAGGTTTTTTTTCTGTTGCAAGAGTTATAAAGTCTGAATTGCGAGATGTTTCGTGCCATTTCAATGGTTGCTGTCATACACGCATAACTGCGCATAAACCCTTTGTCGATAAAGGAAATAATGAGTTCATTTATCTTTCAGCGCCTAGACGGCCTTGAATAAATTTCTGTAAAAAGAGGAGTCTTTCAAGGAGTCATCACTCGCAGCTGAGCACCTCGAGAGCGTCGAATCAGTGTAACTGTGATTCCGGGATAAACTCACACCCATCCAAGGTAAGCTACAAAACTGCCTCAGGTTAATCAATTTGCACTAAACTACTCGACATAACACCAACCAAACCAATTCACGCCCAGAATAACACAAACTGCACAGACTATATCGAACTAACGGCCTACATGTACATTGACCACATTAGTCTACAACTAATATATGAGTCAACCACACCCTAAACACCAAAATGCATCTTCCTATTAAGGACCGCTTAAATCAAACCAAGTAAACTAAATATTTTACAAAGTTGTGATGTTCTTTGTGGCTCTCATAGGTCTCACAATGGTCATTTACCAAAACAATTTTATGCCAAATACACGAGATAATCAAATTTTAATATTGGTGCAAATTGCATGATCCCATGGTTCTGAGAATTCAATTTGATCGAGGGCTGATTGAATGCGATCGCACAGACCTGAATACATTTCCCCAAGTAAATATTAATGTCTACGAGTTACGACAGAGTCATTTATGAACCAAATCCTATTCAGTTAAAGAATTAATTAACATAGAGTAGACCTTCATAATAAGTTTACCAAATTTTTGTGGCTAATTACAAGAGAAAGGTAATACTTTTCTCAGACTTAAACCGTTATAATGTCTTGCTGGCTGATAATTGAAAGAAATTCGAAATTTGCTGAATAAGACAAATACTCTTTAATTGTCCCCCATGGGATTTTGATCCTATCTAAAGTTGTTGGCTTAGAAAATAATCCTTTTCATTCAGGTTGGCTGGCAGAGAAGATAAGCGCAGCGTTCTTTTTGTTCCCATGAAGATTAATTATAAACCAAATATCACACAATTTTTCTTTAAAAATACAATAGAGTTTGCAAGAGTTGTCAATAATCCATCTGATCGGTCTAAAATGCTAGTCAGTATATTGAGCAAGTATGCAAAATAGCAGTGTTTATAACATGCGCTAAAATATCGCAGTACTTCAAATAAACGTGATTTTGAAAGTCAGTGTGTGTTCCATCAGTGTAACTGTGATTCCAGGATAAACTCACACCCATCAAAGGTAAGCATATTTGCAGCGCTCAGCAATACAAAGAGACTATCGTTAGTGGGAGTGAAAACAATGCATTTGAGCCTAAAGTTTTACGGACCTAAGTAATTAAAGCAAACTACTTCAAACTACAAAACTGCTTCAGGATAACCAATTTGCACTAAACTACCCAACAATACACCAACCAAGCCAATTCACACCCGGAATCACAAAAACTACACCGACTATATCGAACTAACGGCCTACACGTACACTGACCATATTAGTCTACAATGAATATGTCAACCATACCCACGTCAGTACATTGAGCAAGTACGCAAAATAGCATTGTTTATAACATACGCTAAAATATATCATTCCTTCAAATAAATGTGATTTCAAAAGTCAGTGTGTGTTCCCTTGTAATGTAGTCGTGGAAACGAAATACAATTCTGCACAAAGAACTCACGAGTGGGAGTTGTAAAATAACGAAAAGGTTTCATATATTGCGCTTCGATAGTCACAGCACACCTATCTGTTATTGATATAGAAAGGCGAAGGAACATAACCGAAAAGTGAGACAAAAGCGAAGACTCTTGCTAAAAAATTTAATATTAATCATACGTGTGCTAAATGGCTGCAAAACTGTCTACAAAGAAATTCTATTTTCTGTTTTAGCCTCCGCCAATCATAATTTTTAAGGAGTGCAAGAAAGTGGAAAAATTGAGCATCTGCAATTAAAGTCACATTCAAGTTCTTAAACTGTTTTAGGTTTATTTTTTTTTCTGTTGCAAGAGTTATAAAGTCTGAATTTCGTGCCATCATCCTATTGATAAATGAATCCTTTGTGGTGTCAATGGTTTGTAACATGCACGCATAACTGCACATAATTCCCTTTGTCGATAAAGGAAACAATGAGATCATTTATCTTTCCGCGCCTAGACAGCCTTGAATAAATTTCTGTAAAAAGAAGAATCTTTCAAGGAGTCATCACTCGCAGCTGAGCACCTCGAGAGCGTCGAATCAGTGTAACTGTGATTCCGGGATAAACTCACACCCATCCAAGGTCAGCTACAAAACTGCCTCAGGTTAATCAATTTGCACTAAACTACTCGACATAACACCAACCAAACCAATTCACACCCAGAATAACACAAACTGCACCGACTTTATCGAACTAACGGCCTACATGTACATTGACCACATTAGTCTACAACAAATAAGTCAACCACACCCTAAACGCCTAAATGCATCTTCTTATCCAAAAACGAATCCTTTGTGCTGTCAACGGTTTGACATACATGCATAACTGTTCTTTAACTGTACTAGGTCTATTTTTTTCTGTTGCAAGAGTTATAAAGTCTGAATTGCAAGATGTTTCGTGCCATTTTCCTCTTGATAAATGAATCCTTCATGGTGTCAACGCTTTATGACATACACGCATAACTGCGCATAAACCCTTTGTCGATAACGGAAACAATGAAATCATTTATCTTTCAGCGTCTAGACGGCCTTGAATACTTTTCTGTAAAAAGGAACGATCTTTCAAGGAATCATCACTCGCAGCTGAGCACCTCGAGAGCGTTGAATCAGTGTAACTGTGATTCCAGGATAAACTCACATCCATCAAAGGTAAGCATATTTGCAGCGCTCAGCAATACAAAGAGACTATCGTTAGTGGGAGTGAAAACAATGCATTTGAGCCTAAAGTTTTACGGACCTAAGTAGTTAAAGCAAACTACTTCAAACTACAAAACTGCTTCAGGATAATCAATTTGCACTAAACTACCCAACATTACACCAACCAAGCCAATTCACACCCGGAATCACAAAAACTACACCGACTATATCGAATTAACGGCATACACGTACACTGACCATATTAGTCTACAATGAATATGTCAACCACACCCACGTCAGTACATTGAGCAAGTACGCAAAATAGCAGTGTTTATAACATACGCTAAAATATATCATTCCTTCAAATAAATGTGATTTCGAAAGTCAGTGTGTGTTCCCTTGTAATGTAGTCGTGGAAACGAAATACAATTCTGCACAAAGAACTCATGAGTGGGAGTTGTAAAATAACGAAAAGTTTCAGATGTCGCGCTTCAATAGTCACAGCAGACTTATCTGTTATTGACATAAGAAGGCCAAAGAACTTAATTGAAAAGTGAGACAAAAGCGAAGACTCTTGCTAAAAAATTTAATATTAATCATACGTGTGCTAAATGGCTGCAAAACTGTCTACAAAGAAATTCTATTTTCTGTTTTAGCCTCCGCCAATCATAATTTTTAAGTGGTACGAGAAAGTGGAAAAATTGAGCATCTGCAATTAAAGTCACATTCAAGTTCTTAAACTGTTTTAGGTTTATTTTTTTTTCTGTTGCAAGAGTTATAAAGTCTGAATTTCGTGCCATCATCCTATTGATAAATGAATCCTTTGTGGTGTCAATGGTTTGTAACATGCACGCATAACTGCACATAATTCCCTTTGTCGATAAAGGAAACAATGAGATCATTTATTTTTCCGCGCCTAGACAGCCTTGAATAAATTTCTGTAAAAAGAAGAATCTTTCAAGGAGTCATCACTCGCAGCTGAGCACCTCGAGAGCGTCGAATCAGTGTAACTGTGATTCCGGGATAAACTCACACCCATCCAAGGTAAGCTACAAAACTGCCTCAGGTTAATCAATTTGCACTAAACTACTCGTCATAACACCAACCAAACCAATTCACACCCAGAATAACACAAACTGCACCGACTTTATCGAACTAACGGCCTACATGTACATTGACCACATTAGTCTACAACAAATAAGTCAACCACACCCTAAACGCCAAAATGCATCTTCCTATCAAAAAACGAATCCTTTGAAATCTTTTATCTTTCAGAGTCTTAACGGCCTTGAATATTTTTCTGCAAAAAGGAACAATCTTTGAAGGAATCATCACTTGCAGCTGAGCACCTCGAGAGCGTCGAATCAGTGTAACTGTAAATTCCAGGATAAACTCGTACCCATCAAAGGTAAGCAAAGTTGCACCGCCCGGCATTACAAAAAGACTGTCATTAGTGGGAGTGAAAACAATGCATTTGAGCTACAGTTTTTCAGACCTAGGTAATTATTGCTAACTATTTCAAACTACAGAACTGCTCCAGGTTTATCAGTTTGCGCTAAACTCCTCAACATTTCACTCACCAAACGAATTCACACCCGGAATTGCATAAACTACACCGACTGTATCAAGCTTACGGCCTACATGTACATTGACCACATTAGTCTACAATAAATAAGTCAACCACACCTTAATCGCCAAAATACAGCGACGACATTGAATAAAACTAAATACAACAATGGTTTGTAATGTAAATTTACTCGAATAACTGCTTATTAACCTCTCTTTCTCTCAAGGAATCATCACTTGCAGCTTAGCAATTCGAGAGCGTCGAATCAGTCTAACTGTAATTCCAGGATAAACTCACACCCATCAAAGGTAAGCATATTTGTATTGCTCATCGACATGAATGTAGATGAAAGTCAGGACAGTGTATTTGGGATAAACTTTTGAGTTCAGACTTAATTACAGCTGACTAATTTCACTATACTTCTTAGTGAAATGACACAAATCAAAAATGAAAGGGAAAAGTAAATCCCATAGGGAAAGCATAAAATTTTCATCGCTTGTTTGCTGCATGGCGTTGAATTTGTGGGCTAGCATAAAACACAACCTCAGATTTTATTGTTGTTTTTAGAAGCTAGTTCTTAAAGGCTTGCAAGCGAAGCATAAAGCTTAACAACTTATGGGAGCAGTGAAGTGACAAAATATGTGAAACACCTCGTGCTGGAAAAAAACAAACTTTTGAGCGCACGATCTTCATAGAGCGCAAAAAAATACAAGAGAAGGGCACAGAATTGAAGCAAATGTATCACTAAAAGAACTTTTATAGTGATTTTGTGATAGTACGGTTGGTTTGAAACTATATTTTGTCGAAAACTTTTAAGTGTTTTTGTTTCGCGTCAATTGTAGGCTCTGGTTAAATGACCGGCGGCCTGCCAAAGTTTTAAAACAATTAAATGAATAAATGAATTGATAATTTCTCTAGGTAACATAGAAAAAGGATTGATTTTCTTGAAAACCCAACATCAGCTTATTTTACCAATCCAATATCTTTCATGTCTGTGAAATGTACACAAGAAAAGGAGAACGTATTTTTTCATTCACAAACAACCTCAACTTGCATTACAAAGCGAAAGGATATAGTGGTCAGGAATCTGTCCACTATGTACATAATCGACATCATAAAGGAAAGTGTCACCACTTTCACTTGAGGGGGAGGGTTTTTTTTCGTCGCTTGCCCTGCCGGCTTTTCTTCCTTCTGCAAATCTTTTTTTTTTTTTTCACCGAAAAAAAGGGGGGGGAGTCCCTTACCTAGATCCGCCACTGACTCTCCCTGACGTCTTTCAAAGATGTAAATTTTCTCTGACTCAAAGTGAAATTCTCAGACCTTGAAGGAATCCATTTTTACCTGACTTTCCCTCAACTGTGACAGCCATGCGTAATATTATCGTGCCGGAAACGAAACATAATTCCTTTTAGAAATAGCCTCTGACTGACCATAAAAACAAAGAAGGGCAGGCGCAATCTTTCAATCATCATCGTCTTTGAAATGTTCAGAACACACTTTGGAACTAGATGTTACTCTTAAGTATTTTTTTTATTTTTTTTTAATCCTAAAATTCATATCTGTTTTAAAAGAAACTGAAGAACAATCACAACATTAAAAAAATCGATACAAGACGAAATTAATTTTCTGACCATTTAATCATGCAGATAAAACCCAGGTTCGTGTGACTAGTAGTAGAAGAAATATAGCAAGGGTACTTAACTACTGGAGCTTACGATCTTTAGCATATATAAGAAAACACAAATCCGCATTTGTGGGAATATTTTGGTGGTTGCAGGTGCAGTTATAGCCGGCCATTCCTTACCCTTCGCAGTTAAATTTTTTTTGGCCTCGACATTCTGACAGAAACACAGAAACATCCTGTCGAGTCTCAGTAGACTCCCGGTAAGAACATACCTTGCGGGTAACTATTACAGTAACAGACCTTTAGTTCAATTCTGCTGAGCGGCAATTTTCATTTCAACCCCCTTTATTTTTTACGTGGGATGCCTGTGGCACGACAAGATAAAAATCCGGCTCGGGTATGTTTTTTATTGCAAGGACAAATTGGAAAGCTAGCTTAGAGCAATACGTAAAATCTTTATCGATTTTATCTTATGTAAATATTGGCGGCTGGACTGATCAGAGGCGGACGAAAATAATCCTGTGCTTTTCTAACAAAAGAAGACCTGAGGACTTCATTTCCGCATAACTTTAATTTCACTTAGTCAAAAAAATAGCGGTCACGTTAAGTACGTTCTGAGGTATTTCATTCTGAGGCAGAAAACTTATTAGATACAAGCTGGAGAAAACCCTGTAAATAAAGATCATTGGTTTACAATGCAAATGTATATTGACCTACTATGAGACAAAACGTGACATAGAATTGAAAAAGAGTTGAATTCGGCTTGTGCAGGTGAAGAAAGATTTGGTTTCCAGAGACTAAATTTGACCAATTCTGAAAACGGAAATTCGATAAACACAGCATACTGTTTTATGCTGTTTTCGTAAGCTGTATATTCGTTGATTATTCTGCGGAGTTGGATGTTTACCATAATTTTGGATCTCTCCGTGATTTTCCTGAACCTTTGCTTTTGAAATAGAGTAACCTTGCATTGCTGCAAAACCAATAATCACAAGTCCACAATCATTTTTCATCTATGAATTAAGTACTCTATACACGAGTTGGCCATAGTTATTCTTTGATTAGGTAAAGGATGTAATTGAATCTATTTGGCATCTTGTGGTGTTTTAATCGATTTATTTATTTATTTTTTTTGCCTTATTCCATATACATTAATATAGGTTGTGTGTTTTTTTTCGATGGAAGCGTACTTTTTGTACGATTTTTTTTGTGTGATTAACCATGAAATATATAATAAAGTCTACCGATTAACCTCTAACCTTGCGTAAGGTTTAATGTGAAATTGACATCGCGAAATGACCTCGAAATACCACAAAATTAACTACAAATCACTAAGAAATAACTTAGTACACTCTTTTAGATGTATTAATGAAAAAGGCGAGGGGATTGGGCTACACCCCTCAGCCCCTCCCTCTGAGTGGTCCCTGGTTTTAGTGGTTTTCAAACGAAAGTTGGTTTCATCATTTAGGTTACGATTGAGAAGGGAGGGAAAAAAGAGGCAGCAACGGGATTAAATGAGAAGTTGATGAGCACCAGTAAAAACCGCTAAAGCCAACGCGATAATGACGCAAATCGCAGGAGATTGCGACCTTTTTTCACAGAAGTTCTAATACAGGCAGAAAAGGAAGTCAGGTCAAAAAATAAATGTTCCGTTAAAACCCCAACCAGAACCCAAACAAGGCCATCATGTTATTAGTCAGTGTGTGTTCCATTGTAATGTATTGCGCTTCGATAGTAACAGTACACTTATCTGTTATTGATATGGCATAACGAAGGAACTGAACTGAAAAGTGAAACGAAAGCGAAGACTCCAGCTAAAAAATTCAATATCAATTCTATACGTGCTAAAGGGCTGCAATACTTTCTAGAAAGAATTCTAGTTTGTGTTGTATTAAAGGTAAGCATATTTGCATCGCTCAGCGATACAAAAAGACTATCATACGTGATAGTGAAACTGCATTTGAGCTAAATTTTTTCAGACCTAGGTCTCAGTCCTTCGAGTAAGTGTGATTTCGAAAGTCAGTGTAATGTAGTCGTGGAAACGAAACACAATTCTGCACAAAAAACTCATGAGTGGTAGTAATAACATGACGAAAACTTTCATATTATGTACTTCGGTAGCACACTTATCTGTTATCGATATCACAAGGCGAAGGAACTGGACTGAAAAAAGGAACGAAAGCGAAAACTCCAGCTAAAAATTCAATATTAATTCTATGAGAGCTAAATAGCTGTAATACTTTTTACAAAGAAATTCTAGTTTGTGTTTTAACCTCCGTCTATATTAATTTTTTAAGGAGTACGAGAAAGTGAAAAAATCGAGCATCTATAATTTAAGTCATATTCCAGTTCTTTAACTGTAGTAGGTCTACTTTTTCTGTTGCAAGAGGTATAAAGTCTGAATCGCAAGATGTTTCGTGCGATTATCCTATTGATAAAAGAATGATAATTAGCCACACCAAGGTATGCAAATTACACTCGACCCACCAGCTACGCGTGACTCCACTGAGAAAGTATATTACTTAAACTAACTGTACATGACTACATCAAACTTTTCCAGACTTGAATAATACAGGTAACTACTTAAAACTACAGACTATATTAGCTCAATCAATTAGCACTAAACTACCCAACATTACATCGACCCTTATGTAAAATTGATATATCCGGCGTCGAGAGTGAAAGTTCAGTGCTTTCCTACATACTTTAATCAAATTTTTCGTGGCTAGAGGTGATTTTTTGGTAAAGCCGAATGTAATTGCGTTTCCTTGCCTCTTTTGCGTGTAAAAAAGTCTTGAGCACGTTTAAAGGTAATATTTTGAGCCAAATTCCTATTCAAGCTTTTCAGTCTATCGAGTAAAATGCATCTTTCCTCATCGGTGCGACTTTCCACGGATCGTATGCATTAACAGTCTTTTCTAAAATCATAAGAAACGCCATGATATAAGGCAAGTACGGATAAGCAAAGAAAACTGCTCCTTAATCTGTCACTTGACCTGACTCGCCAAGTTGTTCAGTTCTGGTAGCTCTGCTGAGTGCATTTAAACTTCACCTTCGTTTCATAATTTATACGTGTGGAAACCCGTTGTGGAAACCCGTATACTATACGGTTACCAAAATAACCACTTTCTCGTTCTTAGGTGAATGGAAGTGGCCCTAGATGAGAGGAGAGAGTAAGTGAAGGCCAAAATAAAACGCTGACTGACGAGAAAGGAGCAACACAAATGTATTGCAGAAAGGATTTGAAGCGAGCACTCAGTTATGCTGAGATTATAGGGCGCGCCTTAGACCGCGTAAGTAAAGTAGAAGAAATGGAAAAAAATACAACTGATGACCCTAAGAAAGGCCATCATGTTATCAACGAAGGAGTTAATGATCTTTACAAAGACATATTTAGGTTTTTTTTTTATGAGTATGGGGACAAAGAAAAATATCTCACGAAGGGAATTAATTATAACGCGCTCAGAAATGGAGGGAACGTTGACGAACATTGTATCCCGACCGAATATTTGGGTCTGTACGATATCCCTCGTCACATTAAGGAACAAATTGACCGGATGACAGTGAAAAAGCCGAATAATAGTGAGGAATGTAATGACAGCAACGCTCAGGAGTTTAGTTGCGCCAAAATAGTATTGTTAGCTTGTGTTCATTGTCTAATGCTAAATATCCATATAGTCTTCACAATGAGAAAAGAGATGCCGGCGAGATTTGATGAAAAATTAACATTCATGAGAAATATAACTACTGCATACTTAATTAAAGAGAACGGGGATGGTGTGTACGTAGACAATAAAGCCAAGGAATTGTGGATTAGTGAAAATCCAAGTGAGGTCGAAGTCTTCAAAATGTGTGAGGAATCAGTTGAGAGATTTTTAGAAAAAATAGCAGGTAATTTTGACCCTGTGATACCTTGGGGAATGTGGGTTTATCGAATGGGAAAAAGATTTAGACAATAGCCCAATCTCTTCACATCTTTAATTCAATGAGAGATCGTAGTCTAACTCGAAATATTAAGGAGCATTTTCCAATTCATATTATTGCTGCTCATGAGAATATGTGCAAATATTTATAGCATTTTTCGCGTCTTGGAACTGCAGGTTAAATGTGTTAGTAGCGGTGTTGGTGAAGGTATTCATGTTCAATCTTACAGGGCTTTAGCTTTCTCTGTTAATAAATAACTTCTTCGCCCTGGCTATTTGTAAAATAATGGAGTGTAATATGTTGTGTCGCAGGAATGCAAATATAATTGCTGTTTTTGCTGAAATACATGCTTCTTTTTATGTCTTTCCGTAACCTCTAACCTGACTTGACCAATCCGTGCTTTGCAATAGTATGTTATCATTAAAAAAAGAGAAATAAACCTCTCTATATAATTGATCATAGGAACAGTATGTAATATGCAGTCATTATTTTAAGTTTTTTATTTTTTTTATTTTACCTTGGTTTAAACCCATCCCATCCGACCCTAACTTAGGCTTATGTAGCGGACTAACGATGTCAGATGCATTGTGCTCTAGCAGAAAAAAAATAGAACAACAAAATTAAACATTCCTAACATTTTGCATGAAATTCATGATTCATCTCGGCTTCGTTTTAAACTCGGAAAAAAGAAAGGGAAAATAGTAAACTCCAGACGAAAAACTACCTCTCAAGAAAATAAAAACTGTTTTTATCACATAAACTTCGGTGTTATACAAGGATTTCCTGCCCTGAGAAAAGCCGTAACAACACACGTGAAAATATATCGTATTTTCTTCATGTGTTTTGATATAGCCAATCAGCTGCTTACACGTCACTCGCTTTTGGCGCCACTCGGTTAGGTTGATGAATGAACGGCAAACCCCTCACGATTCTCAATACAAGTTGTTTGTCGGAGCTTTCTTGAATTATGGCGGCTAAAACACCAAAAAAAACACGTATCGCTGGCAGACGATGAGGTTCAAACTTTCCTAGAAGGGGAAGAAAACCAATATACTGAAAGAAAAACCAAAAGTTGCGTATTCAGTGGCCTTGGTGTTAGCATTTCTCTCGGCTGAGAATGAAAATCGACAACTGGAAGATTTGCCACCGGCCGATTTTGGCCGTTTACCTGAGAGACTTTTTCTGTCGGTAAGGACAATTTCAATAAATGAGAATTTTGTAAATTGAAAATGATGACCATCGTTGTTTATTGTAATCATGATTCAACGCATTTTTCCATCTTAAGAGTCAGCGCCGACGCACTTTACGATTGTTATTCGAGGATTGTCGATTCATTTATTTTCATTCATTAATGAAGTCGGCTTTTCTTCCCAGTAAAGGGCTATTGTGTTTATATGATAAACAAAATAATACATGATTGCTTGTAGATTGCTCTACTCGTGTTCAACTCGACATCTCACTCGTTCGCTGCGCTCACTCGTGAGCTATCGAGTTAGACACCCGAAGAGAAATTCCATATCTACGCACGCCCATGTATTATTCTCTATTTATAATAAAGTTCGGATATAACACGTACTGTCATTGGTTGAAAGAGCGTGCTCTATGAGAGTATAGAGCATAGAACTGAGCTAAAGCTGCCACGCCATGTGCCAAATTGTAGTATGTCTGACCTTTTCCGGGACTTCTTCCTAGCTTTCCTTTCGTTAATTGAAAGTGAAATTTCGGAACAAGCGAGCAAAGGTTTGCAAAAATGCCAGGCGCAGTAATTTAGGTTACTGTAACGTGAGCAGAGACAAAAATCCTCAAAGATAAAACAAAATAGACAGTCCGAGTTTTAACGGTTTTCACGCTCAGTTAGATTGCAAGTTTACGTACGGTAATACAAATAAAAATAAAACACAGCTAACACTTGTATAGTATATAAAGTTTTATTTTCAAAAACAAAACAGGAATGATAAAAAATATAACCTGGCATAACTGTTAAAGTTCATAATAGTCATGACGGTGTCAGAGCGACTGCAGTCATGCTGAGGTCTATCGCGACTAGCTCATCATGGCGATCTTCGGTCATCGCAATGGAGCAAGCCTCAGGAACAAAATCGACTACCCCTCGAGTGGAAAAATAAGAGCTTGCTCTGATTACCTTTCCGATGTGTTGAGTGGAAGTCCTCATTAGTCACTATAGCCGAGTTTTACGTCGCTGTCATTCCGAGCGATCTTCATGTCCCAGTGAATTCGGCTGTTGTTCCTTCATATTACACTCGCCTTGAACAGTTTGTTTTCTACTTGTCATGTGAAATAACTTGCGTATTTTTGTGAGCCACGATTGGGCCGAATTTCACTGAACATTTCACTATCAGATTCTGTATTAGAAACTGCAAGAGTGTTAAATTCGACATGCCGAATTATTTTAGTTTGTAAACTATTGCAGAATATGAACTTTGATGGTTTTTGAACTTTGATGGTTTGACATTTTTGACAGCTTTAGTCTTGTACAGCCAATCAGATTATTTGAACCATTGCAACAGGGATTCTAATTGGCTTATTGTGGCGTGCTTTATGAGAGTATGGAGCATGCTGACGACACTGTTGTTCGCTTTGGAAATAAAATTTGTTTTGAAAATTGAAAGTAATTCTTGGGGAATTTAACGGATTCTTTATTATAAAACAAATAGAGAAGCCTTGACTGTGCTCTGTTCTGTTGTAATGCATTGGGGAAGCGGCTAGAGCACTCAAGAAGTAGGGAGAAACACTCGACTACGTCTCGTGTTTCTCCCTCTTGAGTGCTCTAGCCGCTTCCCCAGTGCTTTACAACAGAACAGAGCACAGTCAAGGCTTCTCCATTTATTAAATATTCGCTTGCTACCCCTCTTTGATTATCAGTTCAGTTGTGGGCAACCTTATTCGCTTTAACCTCTGCCACGACCCAGTCATTGACTACACGATTATGTGACAAGATAATTTATTATTTTAAGACTTCCTAGTGTTTGTTTCGCAACAGTCACCTATATGAGCGACAAACCGGGGGGTGAAGGTGGGGGAAATAAGAATCCTGATAAATAGTCTGTACGTCATTTGTCAAATATTTGCCTTTCATGTGTTACCCCAATTTCTAACAGGTTCAGTTGTTTCAAAGTCGCACTCACTAAAAACCTTCGCAACCTCATGGCTACCGGCGCTGAACAAGAACAGGAAGGATTCTGGGACGAATTAGAGAAGCTGTTTGACCGCCAAATTCCAATCAAGAATGAAGTGAGATATGCCATAGACACTGTTTTTAAACGTGTGGATGTCTTTGACCCTGAAGAAAGAGAAGGAGTAATCGACGCCGCAGAGCACATAGCTTACAAGATAGTCACCGCTGCATTTCGAGGTGAAGATGCAGAGGAGGTTCAGAAAGAGGTAATTAAGAATATGAGTGAGAAAGATAAGGTGAAAGCAAAGAAAGATAAGAAGAAAGCAGATGAAGATAAAAAGAGTGCAGTAGAGAAAAGATCACAAATGTCACCAAGAGAGGCCACTAAGCATAGAACAAGAAAATATGATATTACACCTGGTAATTTTTTGGAAATGTTTGAAGGGGTCAAAAAGCTGCCTAAGAAATGTGAGCAGAGAGAGGCACAAAAAGAAGAAAGAGAAAAAGTTCACTATCTAATATACGGAAGTATTTATCGAGAGATACTAGAAAAAATTGTCGAGAAAGAGAAAGAATTTCTCGCTGGAAAGCATTTGGAAGTTCTTTTGAAGATGAAGGAAGTCAAGAAAATTAATTCTAAATACTCGGTGGATACCCAAACGCTTGATTTTTATGGCTTGCCGATTTACGAAAAGTGTATGATGACGGCGCCCGAACCACTGAGTGTAACTTACTCAAGCGAGTTTTTGGCAGCCAAAGATCTACTGATAGAGAGTGCGATAAAAATGACGCATTTTATTTTTGAAAAGTGTCAGGAGGAAAAGAAAGCGATTCTAGATGATGAAAAGAAAAAGGAACTGACCAAAAAAATTGACGAGATCAATTACCCAACTTCTTCTGAAAGGGATCTTGGCTTGCTCGTAGACTATACGGCTTACGACAAGTGGAAAGAGGGTCAGAGTAGTCATGAAGTGCGATTATTCAATGACTGCGTCACACAAGTTAGAGAAAAACTCAAAAAAATACCAGATCTCGTGGAACGTTGGGGAAGTTGGGTCTACGAAGTTTCCGAACAGCTTAAATCAGGAGGGTCCTCGTCACAATGAAAATCAACCCCCACTTTTCGGACTTTGTGACTATTGCTATGTTACGTTTCAATTCACTTTACGGCACACCTTTTGATCCCCAGGTATGCACTTATTTTATAACAGTTTGTAACAAGAAAGAACTTCTCGAGGCCAGTGATTGCTACTGTGTTGTTCTCACCTCATTCTGATGTCAAAGATACACTCTCGTTGTTGTATCGAATTCGTTTTATGAACTTGAAACCTATTTATAGTCATTTAACTCTCATTCAACGCCAACCTATCACGAGGTTTAACTTTCAATGACCCGTTTAAATCAACGCCGAAAATGTGAAATGTGTTTTTGTTGAATGAGAACTCGATTAACAAACAAAACTTTCGTTACGGTCATCTGTGATCTATACGTGAACAGACACACACCGAAATAAACTACCTATTGACTGGGTTTAAGGCCATTTAGTATAGTCTTACTGGTGATGATTAAGACAAATCTAGAATTTTACAAATACAATATTTTTAGGGCCATTTAATGCTGCCACTGCGTGGTTGCTATAATTCTGAGAGTTCCCATGAACGTACTTAGTATTAATTATACATTTATAGATTTTTTTTGATTGAAGACAAAGTGGCAAAGGCCTGAACTGTTAGGTTTTTCACTGAGTTGTATCCACACGGAATATTTCAAACAAGGACGTTGTGAAAACTCTGTTGTTTTCCAGCTAAAGCGCTGATCGTTTATCTTGTGCAAAAGTATATTCTGATCCAGAGACTGTAAACATAATCTTGATTCTGATAAAATTTTGTTAACATTTTTCACTCGTAGTTTTTTTGTACATAACAGGCGTAGTTCTCAAGTGTGTTTTCCACGCGCACCATATACAACCAATTTATGAAATAAATTGTTAAAAGTTAACTCACAAACTTTCAGTTCTTTATGGCAACGGCAGATAGCTTATCCTACTTGAAGAAAAGCGAGTGAGTGTCGAGAGGATTCGGGACTGCAGAGTTGGTTTGGAACTTCGTTCTTTGATTGGCCCTGCAAACTCCCGCCACCCTATCAGCCAATCAGAAGCGTACCTGCAACCAATCATGACTCGGCAACTCATGATTTCTCTCGTTTCCCACCGTTTTTCTTCGGTTTCTCATTGGCTCATTGTGATTTTCCCATGCTTCTGATTGGCCACTTTGATTACTTTGGTTTGGTTTTACGACACTAAAACGAAAAAGCTCCCTGCAGCGAGGAAAACCGAGAAAATAGATTTTCTTTTTTTTTTGGGGGGGGGGGGAAGGGGTTTTGCAGCTCTCTTAAACCGGGTATCAGCAGAAGTTATATCACTTCCCCTCGTTGATGTTTTCTTTTCGCTCCATTCAGTGTCCAACACAAGCATCTTGTCGCAATAGAATGACTAACTGAATAAGTAGGCATTAGTTATATTTTGTCCTATCAATGATAAACAAATGAAGCGTTATTGATCAGCTATGATTTGTTTAGCATCCGCTCGTCAAAATATGATTTATTCGTTTACCTGCGATCAGATTCTTTTACAGAAACGAAGAACCTACCAAAAATTTGCCTCGCTAGAATTGTTTGGCTTTGCAGCTCAATTGTTAGTGGCGCTTACCTAGTATTTGGGATGCACAAGTTTGGAGCCCTTCCAGGCTCGAGCTTTTCCAATTTTAGCTCTATGCAAGGATTTTATCTTCATTCAAGCAAGATTTTAGGGTACCTACCTGGTCCGCGAGTTAGAACTTATCGGGCGTCACAGTGTAAACTCAAATGAACCTACCCAGGTTACACAAACGACGGAGCTTTGCGTGATGTGAAGATAAATGTGCCACTAAACGGCAGACCTAGTTTTCATTTATATACCGTAAAAGGGTACTCCCCCAAGAAGTTTGTGCCCAATTGAGATCATGATGGGTCGCGCCCAGTCCTATTCGAGCACCATTATCCAGAGGGATGTTTAGAGATTTTGCCGAAATCTTGAGGTACTGCAGTTAGAACTAATACCATTTGCATTACTTTTAGTACACATTCGAACAGTGAGTTGAAGCGGTTAATCCCGATGAAAACTGTGCAAAAGTTGTTCAATGTTTACAAAAAAACATTTTTTTTCTTTCCACGCATGGGGAAGGAAATTTGATCTTTCTACTCAACGAAGCAGACACATTTTGTGACTGTCTGGTTGCGGACCCATCTTACCCTTCTTTCGTTTCCGTAAATAACAAACCCTACCTCGTTTCAGAGTCAGTGGGAGTACATCAGTAATCGCATAGCACTCGAAATTCTTAAGTTTCAATGTCCAGAGTTCCGCATTGGTTATTCTGTCAACCAAAGCTTTCAGTCTAAGACTCTAACTCAACCAAAACAATTAACTGCTTAGGCTTAAACAACTATGGTAAGATTGGCAACTTTGCTGATTTAGTCAACCTCCTAATTATCGGTATGAAACGCTTACTGTGGCTTGCCCTCGAATTACATGCTCGTCCTCAAGGAGTGACGAGTATCTAATTTTTCCCCTACTGTATCACCCATGAGTCAGTGATTGAGGTCACGAGAAAATGGGAAATAATCATCAACTTAAGGCAGTTCTAAATTGTTAAACAAATTCTCCTCGTTAGTAGCTTAGGAAAAATAAAGAAGATGGTATGGAGAATATCCATACTGATGTAAAGGCGTAAAGGAGTAAGGAGTTCAACTTTCAAACAAGTCTGTTTTGTTTTGTTTATTTGACAGTGCTGTAGATGCTGGATGCACTGTCACTTAAAACCATCTAGATCTATCGAAAACGTGTCATTCTTAAAGTTTGTAGAATGCTCGATAATAAGAATGATAATACTAATAATGTTTACGATTTTAGATATATGAAGTTCATATATTTGCACTGCGGTGAAGAAACGAATTTAAGAGATCCTCCCAGCTCATTTTTCACCACTTGGATGGTTTATTTGGACCCAACATATTGACCAGCTCCCAGTTGGCTTAATAGCTCAGTTGGTAGAGCGCTGAACCGGTATCGCAGAGGTCATGGGTTCAAATCCCGATGAGGCCTGAATTTTTCCTAGGTCCTATTTTCAACTATTAGTTCAGTAGTGTTCTTAGCTGCGACGATCTCTTAAATTCGTTTCTTCACCGCAGCGCAAATATATGAATTTCAAATATCTAAAATCATTATTCATCTCTTGGATAGTTTATCTGGACCCAACATACTGACCAGCTCCCAGTTGGCTTGTTAGCTCAGTTGGTAGTGCGCAGCACCGGTATCGCAGAGGTCATGGCTTCAAATCCCGTAAGGACCTGAATGTTTTCCAGGTCCTATTTTCAACTACTAGTTCAGTAGTGTTCTTAGCTGCGAGGATCTCTTAAATTTGTAACAATAGTGATATTGATAATAATTATCAGTGATATAAATATCATTTAACAGGCCCTATGTCTTGGCGCTTATCCTGGGAAATTATCAAAGAAAACCTCAACACTTAAAAAAAAACCTTTGTGTTCTTTATTACTTCATTGTTTCATAACTTATCTAATATTCTTACATTCACCAAAATATTTCTCCAGTGTTTCTTTTTCTTTCAATTTCTAGAATACATTATTCAATACCATTTGTCAATGTCTAAAATGGCTTCTTGCTAACTACATAGGAAATAATCAAATCTGCTCATCACTGCAAACTGCATGATCCTAAGAACGAAAATATAGGTAATATTTCAACGGAATAAACGTGGCTGTGATGAACAGAAGCAGTACCACAAGTATGGGGAACACGTTCGCGTCCTTAATAAAAAAAAAAAAGGAAAACAGTTTCTATTCTAAGGAAGATGGTTGTTGGCTGAAACCTAGTGACCCTTTGGGTGAATCGAAAACAGATTAAGCATTAATAAGCATGCAGTGAGTTTTTAACGAAAAAGTGTGAATTATTCTTGTTGCTGATAATTCAGATAATTATCGAGTAATAGAGTAGTTTTCAATTGACTGTCTTAAAGCCAAGACCAAGATAATCACAACCGCCAATCAAAACAAAGGTTTGCGTCATCATTAGCCAATGAGGATTCAAAATTAAAACAAGCACACTTCCAAAAGCGCGGGAAAACGTGGGCGACCAAGTGATGTTCGCTTTCGTTTGGCATCTGATCGGTTAAGAGCATGGCGAGATTTTTCTAGACCAATCACAAACCGAAGCAAAGCAAAACAAAGGCAGTCCCGCAAAACTTTCAACACTCAATTGAAATTACTCAATGACGTCAAGCTCAATACTCAAATCTTTGACATTTTCAAAGATAAAATCAAGCGCGGGACAAACTAACCCTTACAAGTAGGATAAAGAGAGATCACTTAACAAGCGCTACATTCTGCACCAAACATTGAACAAAGAAACCGATCAGACGAACTTTACAAAAGAAGAATCTAGGGGCTTAAAATGATTTCGTCCCGATAAAAACCAAAGACCCACTTTTCAGCTGGATTCCTATTCCTACAATTACTGTAATCAATGGGAACGAGGAATGACAAGTTTTTGTCCACTTGCGCATTAAAAAGAAACAAAAACAAAATCATAAATAAGATAAAAGTTCACGTATCAAATCAATACTTTAAACAATTATCATTATCATTTCTGTGTTAGCGACGACTTCTTTGTCTCCTAAAAATACATATTTACATCACCATTACAATTCAACTTTTGGTTCTTATTTTTTTGGAAAAGTATTTGTCTTGGATTCAAAGTCCTTCCCGACTCTTAACAAACTGATTGGCAAGATTTTATAAGAGAATTCCCTCGAAACAAACCTAACCTAACCCACCCCACCCCAGCCCAGCCCTTCTAGTGCAATCCCTACCCGCCCTCACGAATAAATTTGACCCCACAGCTCACCCACCTCTTCCCGATTGATAACACGTTTTGATCAATCTTAGTCTAACAATCTCGAAAAATTGGCATTTCTACCAAAACTTCCCCACTGCGGGGCATGCAGATAATACGCTTTGTTTCCATAGGATCATAATTTTTTCAAGAAAAGATTCTTCCTCCCACCAGACCTTTTCCAACCCCCTTATCACCCCCTAGAGACCCTCAAAAAGCAGTGTCGTCCCCCACAGACCCTCCGCTCTTCCTGTTGTCGTCAGGACCGCCACTAGTCCGATGACTCCGCACGACTTGAGCAGCCTGCAGCGAAGCTAACAGATCATCGGAGTTTTTACGGAAAGGGGGCTGAGGGTTGCGGTTTCCCTTGGGTTTAGGGCGAACCGCTGGGGGAATTTTCGGTGCCGGTGCCGGTGCCGTTGTTGTCGGAGAAATGCCCTGGGGAGTGTTATTCGCTGGAATGCTAACTTCCTCTCGTGGCTGCCACACACCTTCTACGGACTTCCGGTTTTCCTCTTTGGAAGCTTCACCTCCCCCTCTCCAGTCTTTATCCGTTGGTTCTTCCTTCTTTTCGGCTTCTTCCGCCTTCTCCTGGCTAGGTGACTGGGATTTTCTGGTAGGCGAGATGCTCCGAAGCCTTGGTATCACGAATCCCTGTTCCTTATCAGGTGTCTTATCCACAGAGTTGTCGCTCTCTTCTCTGGGCGCCTTACGAAGCCGCGTCAGCTGCCGCTTCACGATGTCTTCCGATGAGATTGCTGGCACGGAGGTCTTCTTAAACGACGATGATCCTGGAGATGGCCCCTGAGAGCTCACTCCTATCGGACTTGCTCCGATGGGACTTGCTGCTGCGTGGCTTGCATGATCCGCTGTGGGAGAGGGTAAACTATCCCTTCCTCGTAGCGAGCCCTCTCTCTTGGGGATCCTTGGAGGCAGATCCCTAGGCCTGTCTATTCCACTGGATGAAATCTTGGGTGATGGCGACAGCTCGCCGGAGATCGAGATATTCCCTTCGCCATCGTTTGCATCGACATCGTCGTCTGTCAGCATACGAATGTACCTGGCTGGCACAAAGCCTTCAGTTCCATTGATTGTCCCGTCCCACCATTCCGGGTTAAATCTTTTGAACACCTGAATAATGTCGCCTTTTTTAAAGGACAATTCCTTGGAGGATCGAGCTGAGTAATCATATATCGCTTCGGCTTCCCTTGGCTCCAGATCTGCAGGAAAAAAAAGGAAAAAAAAGTAACCATGACTGTAAGAAAAAAGACGACGAACTGGCATGAAACGCACGAGTAATGCGAGCGCTCAGCTCGCTGTTAAGAGGCGATCTCTGTAAGAGCGGTCCAGGGCATTTCGCATCGGAAAAAAGTTTTCCCTCAAACTTTGCCCAAGAAACTATTTTTGGTAACAAGTAATTAAAACCACATTAGTTTCTGGAAATACCTCAAAATAAAATTTTTAGAGCTCTCAAAAGTCAAAGCTGCTAAAGGCCCTTTTTTGACCTCTTGCGACATCGAAAATTTCAAAAGTTGAATAGCCCGGTCCTCGTATCACACCGCATGCAGCAAAAAATATTTTGTATTCTTAAAGTGTGTGATATATAAGGTGTATAAAATGCATTTCAATTTTGATATTCGTTTATTCAGAGGCTCGTCATAATTTATTTAAAAACACTCGTTGGACAGCTTTCTGAAATTGGTTAAAAGTACTCTTTCTTTCTCGGTTGATATTGCTCAAGTCCAGACCAGACCATTAAAAACTCCGCTTGATTTCTGCTAATAAGATGTTTGGCTGCAGAAAAATATAAAAACATCTTGCACTTATTAATTTCCTCGCCGAGGTGACTTCGAACTTTTAGCGATATTGCAAGCGTGACAGCCGATTATGCAAATTAGTTCATTGAGCAAACTCCGACCGTTTTATGTGAGTAGCTCAATAAATCTTAGATTTTAACCATTTTAAGTAGAAAACATAGTAGGACAGAGCTTTAAAACCACACCGATTAATACTTTAAGCATTTTAAAAGGCCGAAATTTGACAAATTTTATTATCTCGAAAGACGTCAACAACAACGTATCGAATATTATAATTTGATTAGCGCTCGCAAACTCTTTTTTTTTAAATTTGGCTTCTGTTATTGGCTTACGCTATTCAAACCTGTACGAACTTTTCAAAATTAAACTACAGGATTCTATTTAGTGTAACCATCGATTACAGCACACACTAAATTCACCGTGACCAGTGACTCTGTCACGTAATTCCATCGTGTAATTGTCCTGAATACTTCTCACGTCTAAATAAAGCAGCGATTTCTCGGATTTCTCGCTGAAAGGGAAAAAATTATATTTGGTGGTCACATCTGTCTGCATAACAGTCTCTGTTCATAAGTTTGAAGAGTTCTTGTAAAAAAAGATATCGCATTCGCATAACGGGCGGACGTCATAATTAGATTGCATAACAACTACACTCCGAAATCATTTCCTCCATTTTTGCAAGAGGTGCTGCATTTGTATCTTGCATTTTGAATGCGAGCTCAAAATGTTCGCATATGTCTCCTAGCATCTTGACTTTGAGACTAGACAACCTTGCTTCTCTTGCCAACCAGCACACATTATAGATATCAAACATGACTGGATGTTTCAATCTATCTCATCCATTACTGTGTTCCTCGCCTCTCTCAAACACCCTTCGTCTACATCAGACGCGGATGCTTCTATCAAGTGGTCGTCTGCGTCGGTGGCATCATCCGATTCTTGTTGTATTTTAGATCGCTGTTTAAGGCACAATCTCGAGAAGAAACCCTGAATCTGTATGTTGGATAGCCACTCTGTTCTATAGAACATTCTCTCTCCATCTATTGTGCAAGCAGTTCGCATATCCTTTGCTACTTTCTCTGGGTTTGGTTTCTGCCAGTGTCTCATCCGATATTAAATTTCTGTTTCAAGTACTGCCTGACGTTTTGCGAAAGCCGTTCACTTGCACCTCTCTTATGAAGAGCCCATCCCATGGGAAGCTTTGATGTACTTGTCAAGGGTTCTGTGGCCAACCAACCAGTTCAGTCGAACTTTCACCCTCTAATGACAATGACTGAAAGTAATGAACCCACTACCTCTTCACTTTGTCATAAAGACTTTAAGTCATGCTCACAGGCACAGGACTTACATGATGAACCAGCTAGTTCATATGGAAGTCAAGGTCGGCCTGCGTCTTAAAATCTTCATCGCAACCAGGTTCAGGGCATTGATAGGAACTACCGTCGTTGCCATCATTGCTTTCTCCTGCTGATGCAGTTCGTCGAGCAGTGGTGGGGAAAAATGGAATCTCCTTCACCAGATCCGTCATTTTTTCTGTGGGAAAATTGCAATTTTAATTTTACCGAATAAACTTTCCAGACCCAACATTAAACGCTCTCCAAACGCGCAGGCCCTTTTGTGTAAGTTGCTGAAAGTGGCAGTCTTGATGTCCGAGCCCTCGTAGAGATGATACTAGCTTACTGTTGTGATAGCAACCTGCTTCATCCGATCTTATAAGGGCCTTTTTTATTCCTGAATTTCGTAACTATATGGTGACAAAGAGATTTTCTAGGACTGACAGCACTGAAAACCAGTCTTTTTTACAGCTGTTAAAAAGTTCTACGTATGAGGTTTCTTCCAGGCTTTCCTCCTGTCTTACAACAACGCTACTCACATGCCAATTGATTTCCCTCTTGGTAAACCATTCTGCTTGCTTTTCCCGGAACTTCATCGCTATGAACTTCATTGTCCAGTCAACTATTATAAATGCTTCATCTCCCTCCAAAGTAACGACAATTTGCCGCTCGTACTGATCCTGGTTTCTGTTCTCAGGATATACCCTCTCCATTCAAAGATCTTAGCGGCAGCATTTTTTGCTTTATACAGATAGTCTTCCGCTTGAAACCTACCCAATTGTATTGTGTACTCAGAAATAGCGCCTTTTACTTCTTCAAGAACACTCTTCAGCATCTCACAATCCTCACACTTCACGTTGTGACTGTGACTGCATACTTTCTGAACTTCAGTGTCACCAGCATGGCTCGGTGCAAAGACCCTACAGTGATCGGCACATTTGCTATCGTCCTCTTCGCAGTGATTACGGTATGTAGTCTTCAAATACAACTTGCTCTCCTGAAGCCTCTCGCGAACTTCTTTACACTAGTCCTTTTCTGCTCCCACGCTTTCCAATTCGTCTATAATTTGGAGAAAATCCTTGAAACCATCCGCTCCCTCAGCTGCAGTATCGTGTAAACCTCTATATAACGCCATACATCTTAGAAATGACCTTTGACTTTTGCAAATTGACAGAATACCGGCTCTTTAGCCCTTTGGAATCGCTACCAGGGTGTGTCGGATACTGGCACGCTGAACTTTGGCGCCAGAACTTCCCATAAGTGTGCCTATGCTTTGCGCAGACCCACATTTTGCTATAACTGAGTCTTCTACATCGAACAGGCCAGCCCTTGCAAAGATAAGCTCTCCTTCTGTGAAACTCTCTTTTGACAAATGGATTAAGCAGATATGACTCTTTATTGAGTCAGTACTCTGAGGCAAGTTAAACAAACCGGAAACTCCTCGTGATCTTCGAGCGAAGTTTCTGAAGAACGCGACTGAAAACAGGACTTCTTTTGGCGAATACCGCTTCAAGAATTTAGTGTTATTAATCCCAAGCAAACCAGTACCGAAAGAGACATATGAATTACAGCTAATACAATTACGCACTTTACAGTATAGATATAGCTAATTGTTGGAAAAATGAGGTCACAAGTAATGTAATAATTTATTCCCTCAAAAATCGCAGGGTCCTTTTCCACAAGAACTCCCTAGAGTTCTGAATAGAAACTTTCATAAAGACAGGTGTGCAGACAAAATTTCTCTTATTCTTGCCGACCAGAATTTGGATCCAAAAGGCGATGTTATCGCTGCTTTATTAAGAAGGGAGAAGCAATTGAGGATAATTACACATGTACAATTGAATTATGTGACAGTGGTCACGGTGTATTTCAGTGTGTGCTCTTATCGCCGGTTACACTAAATAGAATGCTGTAGTTTGGTTATGAAATGTTCATACAGGTTTGAATAGCGTAAGCCATTAGAACTCAAATATGAAATAACAGAAGCCGAATTTTTAAAAAGGGGTTTGCGAGCGCTTATCAAATTATGATATTCGATACGTTGTTGTGACGTCTTTCGTCACGAGATAATAAAGTTTGTCAAATTTGGCCTTTTAAAATGTTTAAGGTATTAATCGGTGTGGTCTTAAAGCTCTGTCCACTATATTTTCTACTATATTTTCTACTTCTAAGATTTATTGAGCTACTCACATAAAACGGTCGGAGTTTGCTCAATGAACTAATTTGCATAATCGGCTGTCACGCTTGCAATATCGCTAAAAGTTCGAAGTCACCTCGGCGAAGAAAATCAATAAGTGCAAGATGTTTTTATATTTTTCTGCAGCCAAACATCTTATTAGCAGAAATCAAGCGGAGTTTTTAATGGTCTGGTCTGGACTTGAGCAATATCAACCGAGAAAGAAAGAGTACTTTTAACCAATTTCAGAAAGCTGTCCAACGAGTGTTTTTAAATAAATTATGACGAGCCTCTGAATAAACGAATATCAAAATTGAAATGCATTTTATACACCTTATATATCACACACTTTAAGAATACAAAATATTTTTTGCTGCATGCGGTGTGATACGAGGACCGGGCTATTCAACTTTTAAAATTTTCGATGTCGCAAGAGGTCAAAAAAGGGCCTTTAGCAGCTTTGACTTTTGAGAGCTCTAAAAATTTTATTTTGAGGTATTTCCAAAAACTAATGTGGTTTTATTTACTTGTTACCAAAGATAGTTTATTGGGTAAAGTTTGAGGGAAAACTTTTTTCCGATGCGAAATGCCCTGGACCGCTCTTACAGAGATCGCCTCTTAAATCGCGTTTTATATTAACGTGTAGGCGAGTTGCAGAGTTCGTTATGTGCAAGTGAGGTTCAAAAGAACCGGAAGTAAGATAGATGGTTGCAATTTTTAGCTAAAATGGACGTGTTGACTCTAAGAATGTTTCAACATTCTATTTAATCTAAAAAGATATCTTTTAAAAGCAATGTTTTAAATGCTTTAAATACTTGACGCACTCCTCATTCTCTCTCTTCCTTCTGAGAGGGCATTAAAAATCGTTCCATTCTGAACACTTACCTTCGTCGCTCTCACTCTCTTCTGTCTCAGATAATGGCGCTGGTAGCGATTCTTCAGAGCCAGGGAATATCTCGTCACAATGTTTAATAAGTAATTCTATCATTCCATTCACTTGACTTTGATAAGCTATCATGTCTTGTTCGGACGGGATACGTAACAATGTCGGGCCGAACACTACCGCCAGATTGTGGGCGTCCATCTTGTTAGATTCACTGTGCTGTGCAACTCTGCCGAGAGACGTCATACCGCAGAACATTAAATTTTGGGGGTTCAATTTTGCGAACGTATTCTTTGTTATGGGAAGTGGCTATAGAGTAGCAGTTTTTTGAAAACTTCTAGAATGCCTTGTCACGGCAATGTGGATACTCAAACTTTCTGATGTCATACCATGGAACTGCCTGGAACATTCTATTGGGTTATGTAATTATGATGTTATTTTATCTGAAATTGCTGTGTTGTAGTCTTCAAGAAAGTTCTAAAAAGAACAATTGCTGTTGTCGACAGAGACCGACTGTCTGAAAAGCTATACTGACTGAGAACTATTCAGGTCGTTTCGCCTACGGGTCGTTTCGTCTTCGTCCAGAGTCGGTTCGCCTACAATTCATATGCATGAATAACACTACAGCAGTGCAAAAGCGTGGAAAGCATGATAATTACAGTAATTTAAATATTAGGGTACAATTGCAACATTGATATATATCATAGCATTTATCCAATGTTGCAAAAAGGGTCAAATCAATTTGTCCCTCATGTCAAAGCGCGGTGAGATGAACCCAATTAACATGGCAATCATTAGAGTTCATTAGTTGTGATATCAAATTTTCATGCGATAGTTTTCGAACATCATCAATTTTTTTTTCAATTTAATCAACTGTTTTATACAATAATTGTCATAGTACGGGGTTTAAGACGTAGGCGAACTGAGATATTGGACGTAGGCGAATCGACTCTAGACGTAAGCGAAACGACCGTAATTCCTTGAAAGATTGTGTATTTCGAGGAGGTTTAGAGGCAACATTCACTTTGCGTCAGAAGCGAACTAAGTTTCAATCTGCAATGGGCTAAAGTTATAATAATTTGGGACACGTTGTTTAATAGGGAAGTTCGGTTTTCAGGAGAGTAGCATTCTTTCTGCCGGGTAAATTGCATTGTAACATCTTCGATCCGATGAAAACCATCAACTAACAGAGCTTTTAAAAAAGATTGACTTATAATACTTACAAGCTAAGGAAAGAAAACAGATACTCCATCACTCGAACCACTGATTCAGGAAGCGAACTGAGTGCAGTCATCATTTCTTTGATACCATCTTCTACTGACGCTGACACTACAGACAAAGAGAGGATAGTGCACCATAATCAAAGATCCAACACAACTTTAAAGTACAAAATTAAGGAATTTTTTTTTTGTTAGACATATATTTTCACAATAAAAAAACCCCGAGATGGTAAACCTGGGTGGGCTGAGCACAATCACCGCAGGTAACCTTGCATGTTTTCCCGCCCTTTGCCTGGGCCTAAAACTACTTTCTGTCCTCCGCACCGGTTGCAGGCCCTCCCGCCTTGGGCATTGATCGCATAATTACCCAGTGTTCGTAGCGGTTTCATATTTCTCACTCTTAACGCAGGTAGCACAATTTTTCACCCTGGGTACAAGTTACACATTATTCTGCACTTGGCATTGAACGTAAAATTTCCTCTTGACGTAGATTGCGTAATTCGCGCCCTTTCAAAGGTTTAGCTCGCTATTTTTTCTTGCTATGCGCAGCGGTTTCATACGCTGAATTGCAAAAGTGAATTTTCCCGCGCTCAATACCAGTTGTTGTACAAGATCCCTCTTTTGATAACACCTCAACAATTTTCCAATTTTTAAAACCGCTTGCTTTCCTCAACTATAGCTTCCACTCTTTCCCTCTCACCCACTATCCTCGGTTCAAAGCCAGGAGGGCCTCAGTCTTCTTTAGAATAGAGGAACCACCCTCATTTAACAATATAACGAGATACTTACAGCTAGCCTTGATGAATTCTTGATAATGTGAACTAGGAAACAGAGGATCTTCCAGTTCCCTGAAATAAACCCGCAGTAAACCAGCCACGGCGTTGATATCTTTCCAATGATTCAGACCTGCTAACGGATCACGACCTACAAAAAAAAACCAACAAAGAACCGCGAATTACAGCCTCAACGCGATAAATGTACAGAGAAACCAAACGTTCCCTAACTTTCAAGGCAGTTACCATTTTCAAAAAGTTGTTTCATGTCGTTTATTTCCGTTGTGGATCCCGATAACCGAAATATTCCTTGATGGTCCAGCCCTACGAACACAATAAAATAAATAAAAACGTTATGTTATGACAGCATACTTCCCAGGGAAACAGACATAAACTAAAATAAGGGATTTTTTTAATCCTTAGAGGCCACAGAATCGCCATTCTCTCTGACAAAGGGTTACCGCTCAAGACGTCAGCTAAAAGGGACTTTAAGAAAACCACGACGGCAACGACAACGTCACTAAACAAAAAGTCTAACGAGAAGAAGAATAGCTGTGCACGTGCGTTATAAATCTTTGTAAATTTCTCTGCGTCCTCTACAAAACAACAACGTGAAATGACAAACCCGCGTTCCATATTCAGTTTCGAGATAGTTTTGACAATGAGAAACAAACTAAATGACTTTAGAGTATCGCAAGATTCGTTGGTAAAATATAAGTTCATTTCTTAACCGACGTTGTCGCCGTCGCCGTCGCCGTCGCCGTCGCCGTCGCCGTCGCCGCCGCCGTCGCCGTCGTCGTCGTCGTCGTTTCTTAAACTCCCAAGAGATTCTCTCAACGGTGGCCAATTCACATTATCAACTCAGTTAATAAAACCTAATTGACTAACCAGGAAGGCCGAATTTCAAGTACTCACCAAACTTTTTAATAAACTTGACACAACTTTCTACAACCTCTGGAATTTCTCTTCCTGTAACCTGAGAAATAAAGCAAACTTGAAACAATCAATTTAACCGGCTAACAAGAGCTACTTAAGATGGCGATCACTTCTTTTGTTCTCGTGACCTTAATGTTAGATTCAGGGATGATATTGTAAGAAAACATTAGAAGCAAGTCACTAAGAGCCGGTTTTTACACGAGATCTAACCCAAACCGCAGTTTTACGCAAGCAGTACACCTCAGGGATTCTCTATGAGAGGGCTGATTTAATTACGAAAATGTCCTTCCACTATCAGCTTTCGGCCCTCTGAACACTACTAACAAATTTAATTATTCGGATAGAAGTTCGGCTGAATTGAAGATGGCTTAGAATGCGGTTTGGTTGAAATAATCGGCCCTTAGGGTCTAAAGAGTCAATCCCCGATATCTACCTGAGGAAATGCCACACAAACTTTCCAAAAAATTTGAAACAATTACAAGTGCGGTTATTTTTCCGCAATCATTCGTTAAGAACTGCATGATATGACTTGGTGCATGTACTTACTTTAACATAATTTTCTAGATTACATCCAAACACTTTGGCCTTCTTGTGCACAGAGTCTAGAATCGCTGAAGCTTCTTTAGAAGACATATCTAGCGCTGGTCTCTTGAGCCTTAAAAAAATTGATGAAATGAAAATTCATATCATTTTTATAATATCAACACATTATAAATGTGAAATATGTGATAAAAAAAGAAAGACTTATGGAGCAGCAGGTGTCATGGAGGCGAGATATGGGGCAGACAAAATCAAGTATTGTACCAAAAACCACGATTGCAAATGCCCGTGGTAAAAATTTAGGGTACATTTTCCAAGACAAAAAATCAGACTTTTCTCTAATACATGTTTAGACACTTTGTGCAAGCCCCACACATCCCTTAAGTCATACCCCAGCTTCAAACCCCCATTTGACGTCCTAAAAATTCTAAAAAAAAGTCACCAGAAATCAAAGTTAAGGCAAGGGAAGAAATACAAAACAAAACAAAAAAAAATGTCGAAAGAAATTCGGGGTTGCTTTGGTTTTCTCTAACTTTGCTCTGTGATTGGTCTAGAAGAATCGTGTCATCCTCTCAACCAATCAAAAGCCAAAATTAAAAGAATCGTGACTTGGTCATTCGCATTTTCCCGCGCTTCAGCAGTTTTCACTTCTCATTGGCTAATGACTATGTAAACCTTGGTTCTGTTTAGTCGCTGAGATAGCCTTGATTTTGGACACCCAATTGAAAATTGCGTTACAAAAACACAAAGATGTGACAGCTTGCTACACGAGAAAGGTCGCCAAAATGGCTTCCTTTCGGTGCAAATATAGTCCCCCAACTTTCTTCCTTCTAACCAAGGAGATCAAAACGGCTACAGCTTTGACAGGGGAATACTACATGTAGAGATGTTGGGCAAGAAGTGTGGAAATTCATTTTTAACATCATTTTAAAATACCTGGCTCCCACAATGTCTGGTGTTACTTCACCTACGAAGAGTAAAAAAAGTTAATAAATGATTGTAAGTCACTTAACAATAAAAAAAATTTAAAAAGTAAGAAGTACGGATTACTACTAACCGAGTGTTTTGGTCAGCATATCATTTTCAGCCTCCACACGGACTTGTACACTACTAATAAGAATAAGCTCCCGCATTTTCTGAAAGAGAAAAAATATCAGAAAGCAACATAAGGAAACATCTTTTAAGTGCGCTGCATAATATCAGAAAAGAAGGGTGCAAAAATTCTGAGCACTGACGTGACGTGAAACCTGAATATTTTACAACAATACTACAATTGATCCCGACTGTGGAGAAAGTAAAAACACCAACAGCAAAGTAGCAGATTAACTCCTGGACTCCCAAGATATGATTGTAAATTCTCCTTTCCAGGTGCAACACATTTCCTTGTAAATTAGTTACAAGAATTTGAGTATTCTCATTACCTGTTTGTTTGATAATGTTTGGATATTTAAGGGAGAAATTACATGTTAGTTGCTTCTGGGAGTAATTGAAAGGTTCCGATGAGGTCGTACCGTAATATAATACATCTCTAATTCATCACTGCTGTTCTTGATTGATTGACAGCTGCCTACTCCAGCAACAGGATCCACTGCTCCATTGGCCACTTTCATCATTTCACTGTCCCACTGCTGATGCATCGATGCAAGAGCATCTGAGGTGGCTTCCGCTGACTTTCCAATCTAAAAAATGGACAACAGTGGCTGTTAAATGCAAGGTGAAACTCATAGACATGAATGGCTTTTTAAGGGAACTACTAACTTAATTTAACCCCTTACACCCTGGCATCAGTGTTCATATTCTCCATACTGTTCTCTATACATTTCCTATGATATGAAAGGAGAATTTTTTTCAACAATCAAGAGCATCTTGAGTTGATGATCATTTCCTTAATTCTCATGACTTTTGTGCTTGACTCAGCAGTGATACTGCCAAGATAAATAAGAAGCCAGTTCCTCTTAGGAATAAAAGGGTTAATATGTTCTTTACTTTCTTTCCTGCTTCATTTTGCGAGAGGCTTTCAACATTTCTGACCATAGCAGTGAGCAGGATGCTTATCAAATATGAACATACTACTGCCATAATCCACAACAGAATTCTCTGTAGCTCAGTCATAACACTGGATCACAGAGTCAGAAAGTCTAAGGTTTGATTTTGCACGACTCAGACAGTTTTTGCCTCATGCTTTCGGCAAAATGAATGGCCACATGTGTCATTTAAGGCCAAAACCAGAAGCTGTCATCTTCCTCATCCTCTTTAACCTTTTACACCCCAACATCAATGTGTAAACTCTCCATACTACTTTCTATACAGTTATAAAGATGCTGACAGAGAGAATTTATTTTACAATCAAGAGCTTCTTTAGTTTGTGATCATTTCCTTTATTCTCATGACCTGGATGTTTGATTCAGGGATGATATTGTCAGGAGAAATTATACACTAATCACTCTTAAGGGTTAAAGGGTTAAAAAAATGTGGAAAGGAGATGTCTACGGGAAGGTAATTACAAGCTCGTTAATTCACGTCATGCTACTTTCTTTTTCAGTTTTTTTGTTTGATGAAGTTCCTTAAACCATGTTGCAATTAGGTATCACTACAAGAAAGTGTTTTAGTGACAAACCTCATCTGTTTCTGCTTTTGCTCTTTGCAGTCTCTCAAACACCTTGTAGTGATGATCTATTACATCAATTTGTTGAGGTGACACCTGATAAAGCTGTGAAATAAACATCCATACACATATTGAATATGACGCTTCATTGGCAAGATCTGGATATCACTCTCCACTGTCTGCCCTACATTTTGTTTAATTTCATCTCAAGAATTTGGAGTTAGGTCACATAATATCCCTACTGGTAATGTGTAGAGGTAATCCCATGGGCTAAGTTAAATTGAGGATTAAAATCACACATGTTTTCAGAAATTGCAGAAAATTCTTGAGTCATGTAGCAAGTGACGAGAGCAATTTCTGCAACTTCTTAAAACAAAAGTGATTTCAATCTTTAACTTTAAAACAAAACTTGCTATTACTTTTTTATAACATAAATGGAAAATTTTATTTTAAAAAAGGTCAAAAACAACTTAGGCAACCTAAGAACTAATCAGTTTTTGGTAATTTTGTACGGGGAATTACCAAATTTAATGAAAAATTCCCTCTATCTCAGCCAATCAACATGTAGTGAATATGCCCTCTATGCCCTCCTCTGGGACTCATAATTTTTTTTGTTCCATGCTTGTGACAAGACACAAAACAAAATCTTTCTTTTTCTCTATTTCCTTACCAAACATTTTGCCCGAGTCCCAATTACAGGGGAGTTCACAGCTTATTTGAACAAAGACTACTAGAACTACCATATGCATTACTACGAAACCAGGACAAAAACATTTTAAATTAAGTGCCAAAATTTGATTTCCATCCTCTTTAAAATTTAATCTCAAAAGAAAATGATGACATTTTAATTTCAGAAACAAATCATCTTTAAAAGATGTGAACATCAATCATCCGATTTTTTAAACACAACGTGGTGTTACAAGTTTATAATTGTTTTATCTTTTACTATTTTTACCACTTTTTATGTTTCAAGAATAAATAAAGACTACTACTACTAAAAGACTACCACAACAAGCAGCATTATCTAGAGAGCAGAATAGGAGTTCTGAAATTCAGACTAAGAACAGAGACCAACCTCATCATCATTGAACGGCAAGAAGGCAAATGTGAATGGCAGAGCTAATGCACCGGAGTTGTCATCAAAGAAGAACTGTTTATCTTTAGCTGCTTCCACAGTAAACTTAGCTTCACGCACAACATCTACTGACTGGTCGCTGGAAGCTGCTACATTTGCTTCTGCAGTGACATATGCCTCAACTCCTTGAGTGAAAGAGTCATGGTAGTTGTAGTCAAAAGTCTGAGTAGAAAACAAAATACAAAATTTAACCCTTTAACTCCCAAGATCTCATTAGCAATTCTCCTCACTGTCTACCATACAATTCATATAATGTTAGTTCTGAGAATTTAGTATTGGATCAACCAATCATCCCCTAATTGATATTTTACTATATTCTCATCTCTTCTCTGCTTGATATTGTATTGATATTGTAAGGAGAAATTCTGACTTGATCACTCATGAGAGTTAAAGGGTTAAGATCTTGTTACCCATTTAACCCTTTCACTCCCAAGATCTGATTGTAAATAAGTGATGACAATTTGGTGTTAGATCAAGATAATAATTTCTACCCAAAAAGTTTAAGTATTTTCATTACTTGATTGCTGAATAATGATGGATATTACAGGGAAAAGTTACATGTTAATCACCTATGAATCAAACTTATGACAAAATTCTAAAGAGATAGTAATCATCCTTTCCATGTTTTCATTAAAAAAAAAACAATTAACTCAGTGAAATGCCCAACAACAGCACACTTTCATGATGTGTACTGTCCATGTACAAAGGCATGACATGCCAACTGTCCTATTGCACTGTCCAATTGCAAACACAATGTGTACACTGTCCTATTAGGGCTTTAATCAGACTGGTGATAACCAATCACATTCTGCAATTTTGTTATAGTTTTGATTAATGAAGATGTAATGGACTTGCATCCTATCCAGGGGTATTAAATATACTCCATACTTTGCATTTGTTGCTGCTTCGTGATAAAGATACCATCATAGATTCAATAGAAAAAAAGGGCCTGGTAAAGCTACGATCCTTGTAGATAAGCTGTAATTTCAGCAATTGCAAAAGAAAAGCCTGGAAAAAAATTCAGGCTTCAACGGGATTCAAATGCATGGCCCCCAGATACAAGTTTGCTACTACTACCAACTGAGCTACAAAGCCACATATTGGGGGTGAGGCACATTTAGAAGTTTCCTTTTTCCTGAGGAGGAACTTTATCATAATTTTATTGAGAATTTTGACCAAAAAAAAATGGGTCCCTTGACCTCAAAGACTTAACCTACAGTATGGGGCACAATCAGAGGTAAAGTTACACTCTGCCTATCACAAGACGACAACAAAAACAACAAAATCGATCAGTGGACATTTGTTCTGAAAAAAAAAAAAACAAAAGAAAAAGAAAAAGAAAAAAGAGCATACTCACATCAACCAATGTCTTGAAAAATCCATTGTAATAATTCTCCAAGAAATGGTTTGTAGACTCCAGTGATAAGACATACTCATTCTTAGCTTTGACACACCTCTTTTTTTGCATTCAGTACATTTTTGTTGGTGCTATTAAAGACCGGTAAAACAACACATGAAATGATGTTTACATGTGCCACTACAGTTATATCATTTATGGTCATTGTCATCAACAATGTAATCATTAACTATTTTAACTGTTTTATAATACCAATATTATATCATCAAACTTCAATTATCTGGAGTCATATGGGGCTGGGCCAAAAAGTCCCGATAACTGAGAGTCTCAACAATAAAAAATATGAATAATAATAATAAGCCTAAAATAAAATTGAAATCATGTACATACCCTTAAATCAATATTACCAAAGAATTAACACATGTTCTCAAATCAGAGTGCATCATCATTAATATCTGTCAAAGGTATATTTGGAAATTAAGAAATCTAAACATCAACGTTTCATGGAAAGCAGAACAAATTCTGTGAGTTCTGATGGCTGCTTCTTTACAAGTACTTCAATTAATAGCAAAAGTTGTCACAGTTTGCAAATGGAACAAATAAATGTTTATAACAAATAATACCACAAAAGCAAGTCCTCATACACTGTAATAAAAACATCTCCAAAAAAAGTCCAGATAACTGAGGTTTGACTGTATCAGAGTAATTATATTTTTTGGCAAGATTATAAACTTCTCTGGTCATACCTTTTCAACTTGCTTAGCCATTTTTTCATTCTTTCTTCATGAATCTTCCATCTTTTGAAGTTTCTGCTCCGCTGTTTTGCTCTCTAAAGCCATTGCATGATAGCGATGGAGTCTCTACAACAAACAAAAAAAGATGTATGCCACGAACCCTTTACCCCTTACACCAATATCCATATTCTCAATACAGTTCTCTAGACATTACCCTTGGTACTCTTAACGAGAATTTATTTAGTGATCAAAGCTTCTCAGCTCTGCAAGCATTTCCATTATTCTCATGATCTTAATGAATGGTTAGCAGTAATTACTGTGAGGAGAAATTAGATGCTGGTCACTCTTATAGTTTAACCCTTTAACCCTTTAACTGCCAAGATTGGATTGTTAATTCTCCCTCTCTAGCTGCTACTCATTCCCTTGTAAATTTGTTGCAAGAATTTGGTGTTGGATCAATATAATATCTCATACCTGGTAAGTTTGAGTATTCTCACTACCAGTTTGCTGGATAATGCATGGATACCACAGGGAGAAGTTACCTGTTGATCTCATCTGGGAGTTTAACTCCCATGAGTGACCAAGACAGAATTTCTCCTTACAATATCAATACAATGTCAACCAGGTAAGTTATGAGAATAAAGAAAATTATCAATTTAGGGATAATTAATTGATCCAATACTAAATTCTCTGAACTAACATAATAAGAATTGTATGGTCAACAGTAAGGAGGATGACAAATTTGAACTGGGGGTTAAAGGGTTAAGGGGCTAAAACATTTTTTGATAGGTTGGGAAAAATTCAGTTCCTGTTGTACTACACTAGTCTAATTCAGTAACAATTTTCATCTTGAACACTTGTATAAGGCTGAACAATTTATCATAAAAGTTTCATTGAGAAAAACAACTCAGTTTTTGTATTCACCCTGTTGAGATCGTTAACTGATTTGAGAAGTTCATCCTGGAGAGTTGAAGCTGTCTCGCAACACTGTAAAATACAAAAAAAAAGGGAGAACTTACAAAATTAAAGACATTCCATTGTTGCCTATCTCACTTTCACTTAAAATACTACTAATATTAATATTAACATTCTCCACACTGTTCTCTTTATATTTCCCATAGCACCGACAAGGAGAATTTGTTTGAAATTCAGGAGCTTCTTGAATTGGTGATCAATTCTTTTATTCTCATCATCTCTATATTTGATTCAAGGGTGATACTGTGAGGAGATATTACATGCAAGTCTCTCTTAGGGGACAAGAGTTAACACCATAAAGATCTGGAAATAAAACACAACAGTTTTCCACTTGATGTAATATCTTTGAAATGCGAAGCGAAAGAGTCTATGAAAGAGCACACGTTGGTTAGATTTCCCTTGGTGTAATATCTTTGAAATGCGAAGCGAGCGAAAGTGTTCAATTTTCGACCTGTCATGACCCGATCCATCGATTCTAGAGGGTGAAAGCGAAAAGTTCGTTTTTCTCTAAAATTAAAACACATTTGAGGAAAAAAATACACAGCCTTTCTTGTCTTACTAGGATTTACTTGAGTGGAAAAATTGAGACAATTTGAATTTTTGAACCTTGCCATAAAAATTTCATTTTTGTTTGATTTTTGCACGGATGTCCTCTTAAGTATCAATCGCTAGTGATAAAACTCAATCGCTAGTGATAAAACTCAATTGATATTTTAGCACTAACGATCGAGTTTTATCACTAGCGATTAATAAATTAGCACAAAGATTGAGTTTTTTCTGTAGCGATTGATATTTTTGGCAAAAATGGCTCCTCATAAATTGTCCATGAAAGAGAACACAAAATGAAGTCCGCAAATTTCTTGATCGAGCACAAAAGGCCTCCCTCCTCTCCCCATCCCTACCCCCTCCTCCCCTACCATTACGATAAAAGTAATGAAGAGCTTACGTACTGACCCAGTACTTGGTGATAAAGTAACCTTGTCCTTCCTCTGATCTGTTTGCTTATTAACCGACTGCGACTTCTCACAACAGGGATATATTGGATATCTTTTTACCAGGAATCCTTTTCCTGACAAGATGCTTGCCAACGACTTGCCAGTATTGGTGTAAACTATTCCCCATTTTCACTTCGTTGCACGCGCAGTTGACGTAAATCTCAGTTTCGCTCACGATAATTCTCAAAGTTGCCTCAAAGTTCTCAAAGATCATTAGGAGCTGACGGGCTTGTTCGAGATCAGTTCACCTGACCTTGGCATCGATTCCCGCTCTTGTTCAATGTATTTGTGTGTAAAAAAACTCATCAAAAATTGTATTAATTTTTTTTTTAAAGTCAACAACGTACCTTTGACTCCGCGTTATCGACAGAGGACCAGCTCACCAGCTGAAGTCATGAAACGATGCTTCGGAGGCTGCGCATGCACATATTTTAAAAGAGGCTCGAAATATGGGACTGATGGTGGATTCCTAGTACACGAACTGTGGTTTTTTCATGTGAAATGAATTTATAACCCATAGGTATAAGCATCTTAAGACTATATTACTCTTTTAAATCTTTCCATACATTTTCTTAACACGTTACATTTTTTGTAGCCACAGAATATTTCAAATAATTCCCTACCAATCAACACCGTGCTAAATATATCCATGCATAAATTTGCATACACAAATGCGACACCAAAAATACGAAGAAACGGAAGGCATTTTACAATTCATGCGCTCGGTGCGCACGGGTTATCAGTTTTGCCTCGGCAGTCCAAGGAGGGTTCGTGATTAGACGAGACAACTAGTACATAATAGAACTCGTTCGGAGGCCACTCGAGAACATGCCGGAGGATATGACCTCCTTATGATTCGAGAGACGGAAAGTGAAGGCGGCTCCAATTGACAGTGACTCTACATACTGGGACAAACAATATTTAAGATGTTCATACTATTCAGATTATATTTTGCCTTTTTCAAGCATCAGTATGACCAGGTGGTTCCACCGTTTGATCGGGGTCCATTGTTTATCTTTTTACCCATCCTACGAGATCCAGCTATCGCCTGGTTTTCTCTGAAGATTATTTGTTATTCCTTGAACATTTTCAGAGATAAAATGCACAAGTTTTTACGGAAGTTAGTCAGAGTAGAGCTTTCCATGAAAATATAATTACTTTTTAGCTCGAACAAAAACGAAGGTCGGGACCCCGATCAAACACCGAGGTCCCCGGCATTTAATACTAAAACGGAGTTTCGCTCATTTGTACGAAGCGTCAGTACGAGGCTGGCGTTTTCCAGGTTGCGGCATTTGATCGAGATAATAAGGGATATGGGTGCTAGGCAAGCCAGTCAACCGAGTTCAAATAAAATGATAGCAATGTCTAAAGATTCTGTAAATTTGGGTTTGACAGCTACCAGATATTATTGCGTTTCAAGTTAATTACTGACAGTCAACACCTGTTCGGTTCAATGAAACAATCGACTTGTTTCAGTTTTTTCATATTCTGACTATCCATTTTTTTCTTTTTTTTTTAATTTAAGGCCACCCTTTTAAATGCTTCGTTTCCTATCTCCTTTCCTCACGTGAAATTGGAATGGTCAGTCGCGCAAAAGAAACGAAAATTAGAAATAAAAAAGTTCTGAAGAAAATCAATCTTTTAAGTAAGAGCGAACTAACGGCCTGCACGTACATTGACCATCTTAGTGTACAATAAATAAGTCAACCATACCTCAAACGCTAAAATTCAGCGACTACATTGACTAGATGAAATACAACAACCATTCAAGTACACCGGCACTCAGAGCCAACCTGCTTCAGTTACAGCAATTCCAACGTTCCATCGCAATTTGGGTGTGCAAGCGAAGCATGGCGCTTAAACAAATTCAAGTCTTATCTTGATACTAATATCAACGAATACTTAAATCAAACCGATAGCCTAAATACTTCACAAATCGCCGTTTTCATGTTCTCTGTAACTCTCATTGGTCTCACAATTTGTCAGTTACCAAAACAATTTTATGCCAAATACACGAGATAATCAAATTTTATTATCAGCGAAAGTTACACGATCTCATGATTCTGAGAATTCGATTTCATCGAAGACTGATTGAATGTGATCGCTCAGACTTGAATACATTTGTTCAAGTAAATTTTAATGTCTACCAGTTACGACAGAGTCATTTATGAACCAAATCCTATTCAGTTAACAGTTATTAAACTAATTAACAATAGCGTAGACCTTCATAATAAGTTTACCCAATTACAAGAGAAAGGTAATACTTTTCTGAGTCTTCAAGCGTTATAATGTCTTGCTGGCTGCTAATGGAAAGCAATTCGAAAGTTGCTAAATAAAAAAAATGACTGTTTAAAAACTCCTGCCTAAGATTTTCATTCCATTTAAAGTTGCAGGCTGGGAAAACAATCCTTTTCCTTCAGGTCGGCTGGCAGTGAAGATAAGCGCAGCAATTATCTCTTTCTCACGAGTATTGGTTGGCAACCAAATATCACACAATGTTTTTTAGTTTACAATAGACTTTGCAAGATTCATTGATTGGTCTTACATGATAGTCAGTACATTAAGCAAGTATGCAACAAAGCAGTGTTTACAACATCTATAATTGAAGTCACATTCTAGTACTTAAGATGTCTCGTGCCATCATCCTATTGATAAAAGAATCCTTTGTGGTGTTAATGGTTTTTAACATAAACTTACACGCATAACTGCTTATGAACCTCTTTGTCAAAAGAGGAGATAATGAAATAATTTGTCTTTTAGCGTCTCGACGGCCTTGAATACTAATCTGTGAACAGAACGATCTCTCAAGGAATCATCACTCGCAGCTGAGCACCTCGAGAGCGTCGAGTCATTATAACTGTTATTCTAGGATAAACTCACACCCATCAAAGGTAAGCATGTTTGCATCGCTCAGCATTACAAAGAGACTATCATACGTGACAGTGAAAACAGTGCATTTGAGGTAGGGTTTTAGACCTAGGTAATTATGGCTAACTACTTCAAACTACACCAACCAAACCAATTAACACCCATAATTACACAAACTACACCGACTATATCGAACTAACGGCCTACACGTACACTGACCATATTATTCTACAATAGATAAGTCAGCTACATCTTAACTGTTTAAATTCAGCGACGACATTGACTATA